CATTAGTGGTTTTTCATTAGTGTTGCCATATTGAAGGAGCAGGATGGGGAATAAATGAATCTGCCCGCTTCCTTTGCTTTCCTTTGTTACCTTTGGACATCTAAATTTCAATACATGAATAGTTTTGTTTACTGCTTCCACAGAGGCCAGCAAGAAGCCAGGCAGGCGACTTTCTTCTTCATCTCTGTGGGAAGCTAGCCTTTGGGAGAGGCAAATTTTCTTACAAACCCAGTGAAAACTAATTGCTTGGATGGAAATGTTAAAAATAAAAAAGGTTAATGAGGACATGATCACCAGTCAGAGAGTTGCGATCCTGCATCATTGTGCAGAGAAGTGACATAGTTTGGGTTTTTTCCAACATTTGGATTTGTGGATTCATCTAGGGACAGATACCAAGTGGGGAGTGAGTGGTCTCTCTCCAAAGTCTTCCGTAGCCTGTTTTAGAATGGTTAATGCTGTCACTAAGCATCTTTTCTGTTTTTTCATGTCTAGGTTGTCTGCTGTGTTACAGCACAAGAGTGTTACTTCTTGTGTATTGCATTATGTGCACAGGGAGTATTTTTCTCCAGTCCTGTATCTAGCAAACTTCTATGTACTTGAGGATGGTTATTGTGCTCTCTTTGGTCTCAGCAGTCCCATTCCTCTGTCATTCTCTGTAGGTCCTGCTTTTTTTTATTCTTGATTTTTCTTTGATGTGTGTCCTTGATGGGCCACTTGTCCTTAATTGAGCTAAATAAACGATAGCTTTCCAAATTAAATTGAAAGGATTCTACAAGAGGTTTCACTGTCTAACTGGATGAACACTTGTCCAAGGGCAGGGCACGGTATAGGGAACAGAATGACTTCTTTCAGCAGGCTTGTGCCAACTTAAAATAATTGTAGTGGTACATGTTAGCAGCTTTAGAAGCTTTTCAGCATAATGCTAAAAGATAACTAACTATGACACTAAGTTCTGAAGAGGTCCCTGTTCATGTGTCAGGCATACTACAGAATAGCTGCAGGTTATTTTAACAATGATAATTTGGTTGTAGGAAAATGTATTTCTTGTAGCAAAAGTATGCAATCTAATATTTATTTTCCAGTGTTTGTAAAACCTAAATGTTCTCTCTCATAAAAGTATTTTGTACAAATCCATAGTGACCTCAGTATTAAGAAAGCTTACTACATTTTTTTGCTGATGAGTCGCGTTTGGAAGTGTGCTGCAGAAAGTTTGTACCTATAGACAGATGCTAAAAAAAATATTTTACTTACACGTAGAAACTCAGAGACATGAATGCAGGTAAAACAGCTCTGTAAGTTTTTAACTATCACAATTAGGGCGAATGGGGCTGATCTGTGGATCAGCAGTACTCTGTACGTCTAGAGTTTGGTGATTTACAGTACACCTGACTGGAAAATCATGGTGAAAATGTCATTTGAAATACTAACAGTGACCTGCCTTCTGCAGACCAGTCCAAAAATACCTCATGATTAATCATCTGTAAAAACCTCATAAAGCCCACATCCTTGTTCAGTATTATTTGGAGCTATGCTTCTTTGCATCAGCTCATGATACAACCTATTTTGCATAGTGAAGTGTTTGTAGCTGTAAGAGTGGAAATCAAAGGTCTTAAGAGAATAGAATATTGTTTTGAATTTGTAAGCCATTTGATTTCTAAAGGAGGTGGATGAGTGAATGGAACTACTAATGTTATTTAAAATTTGCCTTGGAGTAATTACATTGCTGATCCAGTAACGTGGGGCAAATTGCAGTTTTAATCTTTCATGTTATTACCAGATTTTGCAAAGTATCAGGACACTCTAGGAATTACGATGAACTATACCAGCTTTGGAAGCTGCCATAAGGATTAAGAATTTAAGTGTATGCTCTAATTTAATTTTCTGCTGTATTCAAGACGCTTGCTGTGTAGCAAGTTTTTATGATGTGTATGAAAGGTGGGGCAACTTGTAAGAAGGTGAGGCTCCTGTGATGCACATAATGCATTTTTTGTGGTATGGAAGTATTTAGAAAGCATGGTGAATCGTATCTGTACTGTTTGCTAAATGTAAACAACTTTCTCAAACTGTATATAGTGCCTTTTTGTTCCACCATTTTTAATCTGTTTTCATATTTCTATTCTTTCACATGCAATTGACTATCTCTTATTTGCACAGTTTTTCTTTTTTCTTTTTCTTAAGGAAGTCTAATGAACTGTGCAGTCACCACAGGCACTAGCAGCACTTACCAGCATGATTAGCTTGGCCTGTTCCTGCAGTTGTGGCCTTTTGAGAAATTGTTAAGATGTGAAAAAGAAAAAAAAATGTATTACATCCAAAACACATGGAGTCTGTGTCAGATCTTGTCAAGACCATCTTTAGGCTGCACTTGTCCCACTGAGTTTTGGTATTTTTAAACCTGTTTTTAAGTTAGTGTCACTGCAAAGTTGAAACGGATGGCCTGACTTTTGATTACCTGATACACTGGTGTCAGTCAAGAATGAGCTGTATTGAAGTAAGTGAAGTTTAGGTGTGTAAAAGCAGTATGAAAGGAGAATCTCATCCAGACTGTTACACCACTGTAGTCTGAATGCGGCTTGCAGTGGCATTTCCGTCTGATCCACTTGTGGGTGGCTCTACAGTGTCAGAGCAAAGATTCATCTAGCTCATATACTGTTTTTGAGACTGTCTAATACTGGAAATGTCAGGAAAGGGCTTAAGAAACAGGGCAGTTATGGAGTGATCTTTTCCTTCGTGTATCTTCCCAGCTACTGATGGTTGGTCAGACTTTCTGAGCTAGAAATTTTCTTCATAAGACAAAGAGCACTGTACAGGCAGCTGTAACAGCCAAATGCCCCTTGTTCTGTCTGGCCTATGTTCCCTCTGGCAGCGTTTCCTGGCCTTGTTATTTTTCCAGGGCCCACTCGGCTGCCGGCACGGGTGCTCAGGCAGGCTTCGGTGCCTTTTGGGGTGCGGAGCGCGGTGAGCCCCAGCAGAGGGCTTGCCGCGGCAATGAGCAGTGCCCGGTGCCTGCATGCTGTGTGCAGGCGGAGGGGCAACAGCTCGGTTCCAATAAGCTGGTCTCCGGGTTTATAAAGCACCCCTGACTGCCGTACGTTAAAATTGAAGTAAGACCCATTCTGAGAAGGAGTTTCCTTTAGGAAATGGGGATGGTATTGGGTGTAGCCATCCTTTGCCTTCTCTCAGAATGTTTTTTCTTCTGCTGCTTGCAACTCTGCTTTAGGAAGGATTTTGGCAGCTAAGTTCTCTGGTCATTAGGCCAAAATTATTTCAGCTTTGGAGAGTATTTGAACAGCAGTCCTGGGATGATCGGAGTTGCAAAAGAGAGGGAGGGAGAGAGGGGAAAAGTTAGCTATGTTTGAGATTTTTGCTACATGGTTTCAGAGGGGGTGGGTGATTTGCTCATCGAAGTCCTAGTTTGATTTGAAGTCAACGGCCTGTTTACAGTGCTTTTGTGCAACATGGGGAGTCCAACAGCCTGGCCCATAGCTATTGGAGAAATCACTTTGTCATGGAAAGCCACTGCAAGTTGTAAGTGTGACAAACTGTACATCTAAAAAGTTATTGGAAAATGCTGTGTTTTAAGAGGTATAAAGCACTGCCAGGTTTGAACTTAAGCATAGAACAAAGCAGTCTCTGGCTGAGTTACTCTGTCTATGTGATCAGAGCCTTTTCTGCTTAAGAAGCTGAGTAGACAACCTAAAGTTATTTTTTTGTAGGATTCTTCCTTCACATCCATGCAGTCCCAAGGCCTGTACTCTGAAGAGAACATACATTTCAGATCCAAATAATTCTCACTGGCCTCTGTTGGAGTTGTTCCAGATTGTGCCAGTCATGCTGGATCAGAATCAGGCCATGTTCCTTTGTAACAGTCAAATGCTTCTCAAAATACTTCTCTCTGTTAAAAATTATCTGACAAATTTGTGGCTACTTTAGGTAGACCTATTTAGAAAAACAGAAATACAAATTAAAGATGCAGATACGAAGTCAAGTCGTTGCATGTCATCTGAGCCCTGGTAACTGTATACATGTTCTTAGCCTGTCACAAATACACAGTACCTCAGTGAAATAGACTGTTTCTCTACTTGGTTTACCCACATGATAATAAGTTAAGATCATACAGCAAGTCGTACAAACATCAGGTGAGGCATGACAAGTCGATAGTGCCTTTGAGCCCATAGGCTTTTGGGAAACCTGCTCCTTTTGTACTGATACTGTGCGTTGTACAATTGTACAAGTCTGGAGAGGGAAAACTATTTACATCTGACCTCCTAGAATGAATTTAAGATAAAATTATAACCGAACAATATATAGAAATATTTTCATGCAGGGGGTATAATACAAATTTTCAGAGGCTCTTTAGAATATGATTAACTTACGAAGTCTTCCCACAAAGTTAATGAGCAATTAGTTCTCCTTCACAGATGAAAGTCAAAGCCTTAAGTAATAAGGATGAATCTAAGGGAATGTTTCAGAATTCTATAATCCGTTATCTTTCTTTTAATTTTACTTAATTGATTTGAACACCATGATCCACCAGGTTCCATCAGTCATCAATCACCTTCCATTCTATACCTATCATATGAACTGTATTCCAAAGCACTGGATGCAAATTGTGATATGTGGTGTTAAGATGATCAGAGTCAAAAAGATATGAGTTGAATACTTGTAGTGACTGTAAATTATTTTTTCATTTACCCGTATTTCTTGTGTTTTCTTGTTCACGTTAATTGATTGTCTATATTTCTTGTTAAACTGGCTGCTTTTGCTTTGAGATTCCTTTTCAGAGCTAGTTTTTTCTCCTCCTTCCCTCAGACTCCCCCCTCCTCATTCATTGTCCCATTTGCAGTGTCTTTAGTACAGCCCATCAAGGGTAGGCATTTTCAAAAAGCTTTTTCTTCTTCTAAGTTTTAGTGCCTAATTAAAGAGACGATTGCTAAGAGATTGTAGAAAGCATCATTAAGAGGGTCTGATTTGCTCTTTTCCTTACCTTCCATGCACAGGTTACAGATCAGAAATTGTGAGTAAATGGGATAGCAGCATCCCAAAATATTCCTGTGCTGAGATTGTGACAATGGACAGAATACAAGGACACTATGCCAGTCCTGTGCCACCAGGAGATGCAGAGAGGAGCAGGACTGGAGAACAAGACCCAGGACTAACTGTGTTGGGAAAAGCACATGAGTTCTTTCGGATCTGTGATCTGGAAGGCAAAGGCTTCATCACTCGTCAAGACATGCAGGTAAAACAAAATTGGCTATGTGACATGCACAATGAGAGAAGTTCCTAATGCCCTTAATGAGTTGAGACTGATTAATTTAGAGTTAAAAATTGTAACACCCTCCTGATAACTTTAAAGAGATATGAAGCATTTAAAATAATCTCTTTGAAGTCTTACATAACGCTTGCATTTGTTTCCACAGACAAAGCACAAAAAAGTGGAAAATCAAAGTAAGTGAAGTTTAAAAAAATGCCCCAGGAATTTAATTCCATTCTCATTGAGAAAGTTGAAACTCCAGTAAATTTATTACTGTGCGATTTGCCACAGCATCATGAATGTATTCAGTCCACCGATTTTATCCTTCTGTTTTTTTCAGCACAATTATGTAAATAAAAGTCTTTCACTTTGATTTCACCTGCCAGACAATGGTGAACTCTCAGCTGGATCACATGTATATGTAGGAAGTATAGAGGAACAGTATTTTAGCATTATTCAGTGTTTGCACTAATCTTACCAAATCGTTCTTAAATTGTTTGAGGGGCCGAAGTCAGATTTGCTGAAAATGTTGATGAAAAAAAGCAACTATATAACAAAATCTTTTGAAAATGGGATTGGGTGCATATTGCAGAAATGATAAGATGATTTGAACCAGTATATGGCAGAAAACAAGAATGTACTCATGCTTGACATGCAAAGCATAATTTCATTGTATTAATCCATTTCTACCTCAGTACTTATGGATGAAATAGAATTGGGGAGCAGTAGCAAATAAATTCAGTGCAAACTGCTACCAACAGAAGCATCGAATATAATTTTTAGAAACCTTCCGTATCCTCAGAAACAAATACGTGTTTGCATATAGGAAAATGCAAGCGAAACACTTTACCTATGTTGGAAAAGCAAAAACCTCATAGTAAATTACTCAGATTACTAGCTCTCAAGAGCTTTCTGTGCAGTTGTGTGTTGCTGAGTTTTGTGATGACCTGTGCTAATTCTGCAAAGTTGAAAAAAGATATGTGCTGTAGGCTTTACCAATATACATTCTCTCACTGAAGTAACTGAATGCAAACAAACAAATATGCATGCAAGTTGCATGGTAAATCCAGACCCATAGAGAATTTAATGGATTATAATTTTATTGCCTTTCCAAAAACTGAATGGCATATATTTTCACCTAGTGGAAGACCCATATATGTATATGTATTTATGTGTATATAAAAAGGTTTAATATCTGTTTTTGCAAGGAATGCAAAAACATTTGGTTTTGTTTGATTCTAAGTTTTATGCTTAGAGTGCTGATAAATTTATACTTCAGGTTCTAAAGCAGATTTTGCAAAAGATGCAGTATAAAAAGGGTTACAAAGAGTTGTGAAGAACAGATAAAGCACGTCTTCTATTTCACCATGAGTATTTGTTTACTATACCTACGACTTCAGTAGGTATGTAAGTGGTTCATTGTTGTGGTTTAACCCCAGGTGGCAACTAAGCCCCACACAGCCGCTCACTCACTCCCCCCGTGGTGGGATGGGGGAGAGAATTGGAAGGGTAAAAGTGAGAAAACTTGTGGGTTGAGATAAAGACCGTTTAATAGGTAAAGCAAAAGCAGCGCACGCAAGCAAAGCAAAACAAGGAATTCATTCACAACTTCCCATGGGCAGGCAGGTGTTCAGCCATCTCCAGGAAAGCAGGGCTCCATCACATGTAATGGTTACTTGGAAAGACAAATGCCATCACTCTGAACGTCCCCCCCTTTCTGCTTCTTCCCCCAGCTTTATATGCTGAGCATGACGTCACATGGTGTGGAATATCCCTTTGGTCAGCTGGGGTCAGCTGTCCCGGCTGTGTCCCCTCCCAGCTTCTTGTGCACCCCCAGCCTACTCGCTGGTGGGGTGGGGTGAGAAGCAGAAAAGGCCTTGACTCTGTGTCAGCACTGCTCAGCAGTAACGAAAACATCCCTGTGTTATCAACACTGTTTCCAGCACAAATCCAAAACATAGCCCCATACTAGCTACTATGAAGAAAATTAACTTTATCCCAGCCAAAACCAGCACGTTCATTTAAATACAGAAACAAGGATGCTCAGAACACTTAGGAAGATGTTTCTTTATATTTGCTTT